GCTTCCTGCCAGCGAAGATGAGAGCTGAGATTCCAACACCACGGTAGGTGCTATCCCCCACCCCAAGAGCAGGATCAATGTGGGTGGGAGCAGAGCAACAGCGCTCGCTGGTGTTCTCCCCCAACCCAGACACCTGTAGATCCCAAAGAGCCCCAAGGGCCAGCTGGGGTGAACGGGGAGGGGTGCTAGGGTCTGAGAAGAGCGATCACCAGAGCAATCCCAGCATGCTGTTAAAAGGGGCAGGGATCAAGCGAGTGCTAAACTAGATACTAACCACTGACTCACAACATCAAGAGTATCTGGCAGCTCAATAACAACCAAGCAAAGCAGCTGGGACACACCTGGCAACGGGTCACGGGGGGGCCAAGTCCCTTCTAGCTCCCTGTCCACAGAGTCTCTGCAGTTAAAAGGGACATGGTCCGCCTGACACCTAGGTGATTTCAATACGCGCTCCACCTGCCTGGAGTGCTCTCACAGCATCAGGAGGGTTCAGATCTTTACAAACATCTGTGCCCCATAACGGGTGATGGCGGGGGGGGGTGGAGGTGGGGAGAAACAGCACATCTGTACACACACTGCTGGCAAATACATCAAGCGCTCAATTTGAAAAATAAATGTGAGAAAAGTGCTTTTCCCCTCTGATCCCTTCTCTCGCTGCTGGTAACGTTCAGGGTCCTTGTTACATGGCAGGAAAAAGCCTTCAGTCAGAAGGATGATCATCCCCTTTAAACTACCAAATGTTTTCTCCTGTCCAAAGCAAAGAAGAAAGGCCCTGAGGTGATAAGAACTGCAATGGGATATTATTATTACTAGGGCTGTCAAGCAATTAAAAAAAAATGTATCGTGATTAATCACGCAATTAAAAAATTAACTGTGATTAATCGCTCTGTTAAACAATAGAATACCATTTATTTAAATATTTTTGGATGTTTTCTACATTGTCAAATATATTGATTTCAATTACAACACAGAATACAAAGCGTACAGTGCTCACTTTATATTTATTTATTACAAATATTTGCAATAGTATTTTTCAATTCACCTAAGTACAGTAGTGGGATCTCTTTATCATGAAAGTGCAACTTACAAATGTAGAATTACGTACAAGAAATCTGCATTCAAAAATAAAACAATGTAAAACTTTAAAGGCTACAAGTCCAATGAGTCCTACTTCAGCCAATCACTAAGGCAAACAAGTTTGTTTACATTGGCAGGAGATAATGCTAACCGCTTCTTGTTTACAATGTCACCTGAAAGCGAGAACAGGCGTTCACCTGGCACTGTTGCAGCCGGTGTCGCAAGGTATTTACGACATGTCAGATGTGCTAAAGACTCATCTGTCCCTTCATGCTTCAACCACTATTCCAGAGGACATGGATCCATAAGGATAATGGGTTCTGCTTGATAACGATCCAAAGCAAAGCAGACTGACATGTTCATTTTCATTATCTGAGTCAGATGCCACCAGCAGAAGGTTGATTTTCTTTTTTGGTGGTTTGGGTTCTGTAGTTTCCACATCAGAGTGTTGCTCTTTTAAGAATTCTGAAAGGATGCTCCACACCTCGTCCCGCTCAGATTTTGGAAGGCACTTCAGATTCTTAAAAAACCTTGGTTCAAGTGCTGTAGCTATCTTTAGAAATCTCACATTGGTACCTTCTTTGCGTTTTGTCAGATCTGAAGTGAAAGCGTTCTTAAAATGAACAACATATGGTGTGTCATCATCCGAGATTTCTAGAACATGAAATATATGGCAGAATGTGGGTAAAACAGAGCAGGGAACATCCAGTTCTCCCCCAAGGAGTTCAGTCACTAAGGGTATGTCTTCACTACCAATGTGAAAGCACTGTAAAGAGCTCTCCCAGCGCTGTAAAAAAACCACCCCCATGAGGGAAGTAGCTCCCAGTGCTGGTGCACTGTCTACACTGCCACTTTACAGCACACCCCTGAGTGAGAAAGTTTCAGTGCTGTAAATAAGGCCTAAGTAGATCAGTACTATAGATAAGGCCTAAGTAATTAAGGCTTTTTTTTTTTTTTAAACAAGCGTCATCAGCATGGAAGCATGTCCTCTGGAATGGTGGCTGAAGCATGAAGGGGCATACAAATGTTTAGCAAATCTGGCACATAAATACCTTGCAATGCCGGCTACAAAAGTGCCATGCGAATGCCTGTTCTCACTTTCCGGTGTCATTGTAAATAAGAAGCAGACAGCTTTATCTCCTGTAAATGTTAAACTTATTTCTCTTCGCAATTGGCTAAACAAGAAGTAGGACTGAGTGGACTCTAGACTCTAAAGTTTTGCAGTTTTGTTTTTGAGTGCAGTTATGTAACAAAAAAAAAATCTATATTTGTAAATTGCACTTTCACGATAAAGAGATCGCACTACAGTACTTGTATGAGGTGAATTGAAAAATACTATTTTGTTTATCATTTTTACTGTGCAAATATTTGTAATAAAAAATAAGAATATAAAGTGAGCACCGTACATTTTGTATTCTGTGTTGTAATTGAAATCAATACATTTAAAAATGTAAAAAACATCCAAAATATAGTTAATAAATGTCAATTTGTATTCTACTGTTTAACAGTGTGATTAGAACGGCGATTAATGTTTTTAATCGCTTGACAGCCCTAGTAATAATAATATCCCATTGCAGTTCTTATCACCTCAGGGCCTTTCTTCTTTGCTTTGGACAGGAGAAAACATTTGTTAGTTTAAAGGGGTGGATCACTCTTCTGCCTGAAGCCTTTTTTCTACCCTGTAATAAGGAAGATCAGAAGCAGTGAGAGAGATCAGAGGGGGAAAGCACTTTTCTCTCATTTATTTTTCAATTTGAGTGCTTGATGCATTTGCCAGCAATGTGTGTAAAGTTAATCGTGTGAGTTAGCTGCAATTAATCAACAGTGCTAATTATTATTAATAACCCCTAGGGCTTTTCATCAGTTCGTCTCAAAGCGCTTTCCAACGTGAGTCAGTATCCTTGTCCCCACTTTACAGGTGGGGAACCTGAGGCACAGGAAGGGAAGTTATTTGCCCAAGGTCACCTAGCAGGCCAGTGGCAGATCTGGGAACAGAACCCAGGTCTCCTGAGTCCCCTACCCCCTACACAACACTGCCTTCCCTTTCCACACAGCTCCTCTTAATCAGCAGCGCCTGCCTGTAGCTCAGCCCAGGCACTGCCAAGTAGCTCAGCCCAGAAGCACCAGAGCAGCTCCCCTCCCGCCCGTGTGCTCCCGTCTCAGTCTCCAAGATGCACGGCAGCGTTGCCGGACCGGCAGCATTCCCTCCCCACCAGTGCATGCGGCCTCACTGAATCTGTGACCAACCTCCCCGTGCTGCATCTCAGCCAGCACCTTCCTTTGCACAGCTCCCTGCCCACAAGAGAAGGGGGTGGCGTCCCGGAGGAGGTGACTGGCTCGAGTCCTTATCACCACCATCGACAACTGTCACAAGATGCCCCCTGCCGTGCAGGAAGGCAACAATGGGGGTTATTGTTGGAGCAGGATGAATGGCACAAAGTGCTTTTGTGCTGCAGAAGCAGCGTTATCCGTGCAGGGGCGGGAAGGGGGAGAGCTGGCCAAGCACCCAGACAAAAGCACCTCCAGGGATTGCTCTCCAGCGTCGCTCCCAGGTGCGGGACGGGTGACGCTGAGCCAGAGCCGGGCCTGGACAATGCACCTGCACAACACACCTGGAAGCTTGTCAGGACAGCAAGCCACTACCTGTGGGACAGAGGGGTCCAGCAGAGAGTAGGGGTGGGAACTGAAATGGCGGTTAAACAGATACGCCATGGCTGCAGCTAGCAGATTTATTTAGTTTCTAGAGACACCCAACAGGAAAACCAGGACTGCATCAGCGCAGCTGGGCAGGGGTAAACCACTTCGAACAGCAGGTGCTAGCGAGCTAGCTGTCTGTACAGCTCTCCTCACTCCAGTGTCTCAGACAGAGCTGGCTGTCAAAGCAGCAGGGGAATTTGTAGTTTATCTGCATGAAGCAAGCACCTATCATCTCCCACATCTTGGTCTGAACCTTGCTCGGGCCAGGCTGATGTTACTGACGAGAAGCCGCACATGAGATGTTCTCAAAGGCCGAGGCAGAGATGCAATCGACAAGGGGCAGAGCGACCCGGCAGCCTGTCTGAACGCCCACTGAGGAGGATGGAGACGCAGAACCCGTCCCGCTTCTGTGAGCGGCACCTGATTAAGGAGTGGTGTTAGGTCACATGCAAGGGTGTGGAGGGCTCGGAAAGGCCTCCAATCACCGCAGCTGTTGCTGCGGGATGGTGCAGGGGGCACCCCAGGGTTACAACAGGGAGTCAGACTCAGCAATTCTGGGTGCAGCAAGCCCAGCGTTAACCCTCTCAGTGCCTGGCTGCACAGCTCCCCTCTCTGCTCAAACACACTTAGAGACTGGAAAGCCCAGGGAGACCCAACTATAAACCCTAACTGGAGCACAGAGTAGATTCTGCCCCATATCCAGCTGCCTCTCTAGTAATTTACAGTGCTCCTCCTTTCAGTCCAGCATGCCTGTTTCCTCTTTCATCTCCCTCTGGCCCTCTGCTTGGCCTTCTCCTTCCCCTCGGTTTCATCCATGATCTGTCTTTTTTCTCTCTCTCTTTCCCTGGGATTCCCCATTCTCGTGCTCTGTATCCCCCTGGTTCAAACTTGATCCAAATGACCAAACAGAGCAGAGCCTTCTGCGGCTGCTGAATCCAGAGCTGAGCCGTGCCATCCCCCTGTAGGGTGTGGGGCTCATTCCAGCATTGGCACCGTGAGACGCTGGGAGCTCTGCACCCTCTCCCTGCTTAACCCCCGTCAGCACCACTGCAATCAGACATAGCCCTTCCGTAACCATTTGGACTGGGGAGGTCCCTTCTTTTTCCAGTTCTTGGGCACTGTACATCACCTTCTCCACCTGCTTAGGAGGTTTGTGTGCCGTCCTCATGGCTGGCACAGTCTCCAGGAACACTGGGGTGTCTTTCCTCCATTTGCCACACACTTGCCTGCTCTTCCTCTGGAGGGGCCAGGGCCACCGGGTTCCCATACCTTCTGACAGTCCTGGGACACTGGCTGTGACACTGGAAACCTGGAACCATCCTGCCCAAATTAACACTCATGAATTAAGCCACAAAACAGCCCTCTCTGTGGGTCAGAACAATGATTTCTATGGCAGACACAACCGCAGGTACAGAGACGTTACCGCCCTGATTGTCAGCAGGTGAAGGCCCCAGGTCCACATGCTCACATGCAGATGACAACTGCACAGCCGCATTGGGAACTGGAGCACTCCCATGGCATGCAGCCCCATTGGTGTGCGTGAAGCCCTGGCCTGCGCGGACAAGGCAAGCTTACGGGTCCAGAGAGGCCTCCCATCTTGGCTTACTGGAAAATCAGGCCCTACGGGACTTGAACATTGTCACGCAACGAATCAGTAGCAGATCACAAGAGACGTGCTTTAGCTTGGCTAGAAGTCTTGGGCTGACACGGAGCCGAATGGGGGAGTCAGTGTTCTCTGCCTAGCAGCTCCGCGAAGGAGCGGGAGGTAACCCTCAGAGAGAGAAATACCAAGAGAGCTAAAGAGGGTGATTGGTTTATAAACCATGCTGGCTGCAGCTGACAGGCCAGTGACACCAGGGCCAGATCCACACCTATGAGTGCTACAGTTCTCTCCTACCCCGGCACAAAAAAGCGGCACTGTTCAATCCCCTGTTTGGCGAACGGTAACAGGAGGTAACGGGGGCACCTTACGTAGTATTGGGATGAAACAGAATGGGCCACGTTCCTCCCAGGTGCGAGTCCAGCGCAGGCGGTGGAGTAACCCCAGGGATGAATTCATCCTGAAGTGCCAGAGCAACTTGGTTTCGTTTCCTCTTAAGTCGGAGCCAGTTGCTGCATCCGATTTCCAGTGGGGCAGCTCACGGACCTGTGTGAGGTCAGAGAGCGAGGGTAGGGGCCGCCCACTCCCCACACAGCTCACCTAGGCAGGAGGCAGGTTCTCCATTACCTGGAGCCTCTCAATCAAGACCCCATGTCTTTCTAACTGATACCATGTAGGCGATAAGTCGCTGGGCTTGGTGCAGGACCCAGTTGGTGAGATTCCCTGGCTGGTGCTAAGCAGAAGGTTTTACAATGGTTTAAAAGCCAGCCTGAGGAGAAGGAAGGATTCCCGTTTTGCCCACTAGACCAGAGTACAGTACTTGTAAATATCATGGAGACCAAGAAGAGATCTCCAGGAGTTTATGTTCAAATATCCTGTCTTACGGACTGCAAACCTCCTGCTGCAATAGGCATCGTTACAGAGTACCGACCACACACCGAACAGGACTTACTCCGAAGCCACAGACTCTGGGATGGGCTCGTCTAACAGCTCCAAACTGTGCAGGATCCAATAGCACAGCCAGGGGCGGCTGGCGTCCAGACACTACAGAAGGGGAAAGACGACAGCAGTCAGATCCTGGACTGGCACTGCCGACAATACGTTTGTTACGCGGCAGCAGGGAGATGGAGACAGGGCTACGCTGAGGACAAGCACAATGAAGCTGATTCACTTGTACGGCTCTGGGGTGAATTAGCGAGCAACTGAAATTATTCTAAGGAAGAGAAGTAGAAAAGTCACAATGCATGTCAAGGTAGATCAGAGGACTAGGAGGGCATGGAACTCATAACACCTGCAAAGCCATGAAAATTATAGAGACGCTCCACAAAGAATCTAGAAAGCAAATAACTCTATAACAATTATAAAGGCTTTCATCCTGAAGGATCCCAGAGTGCTTTACAGACCATATACACAGCACAGAGATCACTTCACTCACTGCTGAAATGCAGCCACCTCTGGGGCATGCTGTTTCAGCCATTTAATGGCACACAGCATCAGCAGAGAAGCAAAGGAGGATGCCTAACTGAAATTAAACCAGTCACCTAGAAAACTGGGTTTCGCTCCGACTGGAAAATGCATCAAAGATAAGCATAAAACACCCCAGTGATAACCAATCAATGGTACTGGGCCTTTAAATGCAAGGACTGCAATGGAATGAGCACCAGAGCTCCAGTAGCTACAACATGGCCTGCAAAAGTGCCCCTGGACAAAACAGTAACTGCGAGTCCCCTGCAGCATGCTCTGTACTGGCAGACTGACAGGCCGAGGAAGGCAGGGGGAAGAAGTGGGAAGTTTTACAAGCTGAGAAACAAGCTGGATAGGATCCCTGGTGACTGCTGCTGCCAGCTCTGGGACTGGGGTGGCTGACGGGACGGCTGCAGAAGGCAGCTGTGACTTTGCCACTGCGTGCTTACTTCATAGGCATCCGTCAGTTGTCTCAGGCCTCTCTTCAAGTAGTGGAAATGCTTCTCGCGCTGCAGAACAAATCTGAAAGGCAAACAGAAGAAGAAGAGCGCTCGGAAGCTTCACCCAGCGTTTACTAGTGTATTCGTCTTTTACATCCCAGCCCCTGAGAGCGGGGATGACCTAACATGGTATCCTCTAGGCCACTCGGATACCACACAACAAGCACGACATACACACCAAGAGACAGCAGAACTTCCATGAAACAGAGCAGACTGCAAGTGCCTGTGTCTTTACCACGCAACATGACAAATTGCAGCATGCGGCACTCCACCTTCTTCAGACCTGCTAGGCTGCAATGCATGCTTCTGTAGTTCCTCCATAGCCAAGATCAAGGTAAGAAAGGTTTGATGCAAATTAAGTGCGACTTTCTAGCACCATGCAAGCTGCTAATGCAGCCCTCAGCCGGACACTGTTCAGGCATCCTTAGCCTAGAGGATTCAGGAAAAGAAATTCTGCAGCTACCACAAACTGCAGATAGTTACAGATTTCCCCGAAGCACTTCTCCAGCAGCACATCAACCAGTTAGTCAGGGCAAAGAGAGAAAGGATCTCACAGGCAGGATTTTAAGGGCAAGAAGAATGGCCTGTGGAATGATTAGCCCCCTATATAGAGTTTACAGGTGCATACTGTTATTGTGGGCACAAATGCTCTTTGCTGTTAAAGCCCTGTGAAGGCTGAGGCAAGGCACCTTCTCGGTCTCACCAGCCCTCAGCTATTTTTAGCCTTGGTGAGATGGGCTTGGGGTAAAACAGTCCCTCTTGGCTGCACAGGGGCAGTCCGCTCCTTCTCTCAGCCAGTCTTTTAGGTCGGTTTCCCTCCCCTATGGGAGGGGATGCAGCCTCCCCTCTTGGTGAGGCTCGCCTACTGGCAGCTTGCCTTCCCCCACCTTCTCACCAACAGGGGAGGGTTTAAAAAGGTCTCAGGCAGCCCATAGTTGGAATCAGCTGATCCTAATTGCCCTCAGGTAACTCCCTCTCAGCTGATCCTAATTGATCTCTGGTAACCCCTTCTCAGCTGAACCTGATTGACCTGTAGTCACCCCTCCTCAATTAATAGGGAGGGGGGCCTTTTACCCTTCTGGGACTGTTTTCTACCCCACCCTTGCAGCTGTCGGTCCTGAGTTTATCGTAAGGCATAACTGCCATCTGCTGAGCAGCGCTTAGGAGAGCAAGCACAAGGTTTGGACTACCATATTTATCAGAGTACTAACAACCTTCTGTTCTCCCAGGAGCCCGTGCAGCTCTCGACCCCCCTCCAGAAGCCAAGCGTAATGCTCACTTGGCTCTTTGCATTACCACTGCCTCCGATGTCAGTTAAAAACCCATTTTCTTGCCTAGACGCTCTCTTACATTCCTCCACAAAAGCTTTCACCAGCTAGGCGGGGCAGGGATCTCACTGCAAAAGGCAGCCAGCATTACCGCGTGCAGCCAATCGAGGCAGTCCCAGTGAGTCGCAAAGTACCAGCTGTGATCCTCTCTGCTAGAATAGATTTGGGAAATTTGACCTCCCCGCAGGAAGAGAACAGGAGAACAACTGATTCGCAACAGAGCTGCCCCTTCTACACAGACTGGAATTTCTTGCTCTACATCTTGTCGAGTCTGGCCCCCGTCTCTCTGTCAGGTCGTTTGTGGTTTTAATCCACCACTTCTCACCCGTCTCTGCTCTCACTGGTTTTAAGTCAAATACATGCTAGGGCTTGGAACTGGTTGTTAACTGAACCACATTATTTGCATGTTCCCACAGAGCTAAAACACAGAAGCATGAGGTACTCATTCCCTTTGGGCCACCAAGGGCCAGAATGACACAGGGATTGAGGTACCTAAAGATGCAGACCCGTGCCGAGTGGCCCACCAAAGGGTCGAGGTGCCTAAGGCCATTGGCTGTCAATGGGAGTTAGCCGTCTAACCTGCTTGGGCATTTTTAGGTATTAGCTTAGGTACCTATCCTTTAAACTCCCAAGCTGCTTTGTAAATCTGGCTCCTAGTAGGGAACATAATCCTAACCTGGACCTTTCCCTCAGAGGTCAGGAACAGTTCTTATTTAAGAGTGTGAATTCTCTGGAGCAGGGGCTGCTCTGCGTTTGTACAGCCCCCAGCACACCAGGGCCCTGCTCTCAGCTGGGAACTATCAGCCCGTGGGAATTATCGGAGTGAAAATATCATTCGTAACATGGTGGCCACCTGATTTCAGGCATTCAGTCAAGTGCCCGCATGTGCACGGTAGGAGCAACAATTGCCATAAGTAACAGCGATTCCTCAGAGGCCTCCCATGAGAGGAAACAAAGGTCACCTGAGATCAGGTGCAGCAGGAGCTGGATTTTAGCCAGAGGAGGCTTTGGATGGGGGAAGAGATTAGTTCGCACATGCATGATGACTGGTGCTACTCCATTAGTTCCATACTTTGCTGCTGGATTTGATTTGATCTTGGTTTTAAATTGGGGGGCAGTGGATATGGAGGAGTAAATATGAGGAAGGGGAAGAGGGAGAAAAAAAACAGGAGTAGGGAGTGAGGAAGAGAAGGGAGAAGCGCTGAGAGGAAGAAGGGGTGGGAGGAGGATGGGGCAGAGAGCCAATCAGCAGAGACTAAGGGCATACAGAATCCAACCTGGAAAAGGCAGCCTGGTTCACCCAGGAAACAGGATGGTGCGATGCTGCAGGTGTTATGCCCATCCCCCACTGTTCTCACCCTTCCAGCATCTGCACGGGGGTGTTACTCAGCGCTGTGCATGCAAATGGAAGCTGGTTCTGCGCAGGGAGGTTATGGGATGGGCGCACCAGGTGGGCAGAGCAGCAGAGCTGTTGGGTTTGAAGATCCAGCGAGTTACCCTTACAGCTTAGCCCAGGAGGTGGCAAATGTGTTCGGCTAATCCTCTTGCCTCCCAACATGCAGCCAGGCAGCTTGGGTCAAAGTGGAGCAATGCATGATGGGACCTGTAGTTTCTGGATCAATACTAAATGCAGCATCAGGCTGCACTGGAAGCTTCTAGGGGCCCCATCTCCGACCCAGCCAGCCAGAACACGTGAGCAAACCAACGTGAGATGGAAAAGCAGAGACAGGGATGTCTGACTCCTGGGCTCTCTCTTGATGGGCAAAAAGAGGGTGTCCACTTAACACGACTGACAATCACCACCAAGACAGAGAGTAGCACGTTTGAGGCTGTGCTTTGGCCTAGGTTAAAACCTGGCCAGCGGACACGACTTCCAAATGCACCACACTGCAAAGTTCACCCAAAAATCCCAGGTCAAACACTCCTCCCCTGGTTTCTATTGGGTCTGCTACAGTAACTTACTGTGCGGCGTGGTGGTTCGTCTTGTAAGCGCTGAAGACCTCTTGCACCAAGTCTTCCACTCTGGTCTGCAGGGAGTGACGGTCATGAAGCAGCAGAAAGGAAGGGGCGAGGGGAAGAAAAAGAGATCTTTAGTTTTGAAAAGCAACCTCACCAAGTTTACCTAGCAAGCAGCATTTGTGACTACAGCCCATCCAGCCATGCAGGAGCAGCTCAGTTAAGACCAGCTCAGTTAGGACCAGACAGCAGACTCCAGGGCAGAGTTACAGGACGACAACATGAGAAAAGACCACACTGTGCCAGAACCACACACAGCTTCTGGCGTTCTGATCCCCTGGCCAGCAAAGAGGCCTGTAGCGTGGCTGGATGGGCCTCCCCAGCTGCTTCTCATGTCTGAGCGAGTTCACTCTCACCAACAGAACAGGGCGAGGAAAGCCGGGATCAATATCAACATGTGTTTCCAGTCCATGTGGTGGTCTGACCCCAGGACAGCGAGTCAGGAACTCTTCTGTTCTCATCCTGTCTCCAACCCCCTGTGGGGCTGTGGGACATCACTCACCCACTCTGCCTCACTTTCCCTGTGCGTGAAATGGGCTTTGGGCACGCTCCAGGAGGTCTAGCAGAGTGCTTAGGCCTTGTCCGCCACAAGCTCGTCCCGGGCTAGTGAATGCGGCATAATCTCTCCCTAGTGTGGATGCAGTTTTGTCAGTATCAAGGTCCTTATACTAGTACAGCTGTTCCCGTACTGGTAGGGGAATGAATTAGCCCCAGTGTAACTGTCCCCATCAGGCGTTGGAGCAGTATGCCTATACTGGTAAAAACAACGATCCCCCTAACCGACATAGTTACAATCGGTACAAAACCTGTGCGCAGACAATGGAAGGAACCGTAGATGTGTTATCATTGGAGAGAGAAAACAACACAGGGGGACGTTCTCCCTGTTAACACCTGGGCACCGCCCTCCGCCAGGACAGCACGCTGAGGCGCGACAAGGCAGACAAGTCAATTTACAGATCACACTTGACTACCAACCACCAAGGGACAGCAGCAAGTCAACCTTCTCCAGTCAACAAGAAAGCGCCACAAGTCACCAGATCTTTTACGGGAGAGGCTCAGAAGTAACACCCGGCTGTGAATTACAAACTCACCCTGAGGAAGGTTTTTAAGAGCAGGTGGGACAAACACCTGCAAGGGATGGGCCAGGTTGACTTGCTCCTGCCTCAGCACAGGGCTGGACTAGATGATCTCTTGAGGTCCCTTCCAGGCCTGTGTTGCTATGACTCTATGCTCCAAAGACAGATCTTAAAGAACGATTACAGGAAGGGGCTAGGAGTGCCTTAAAAGCATCAGTCTTGTGTATACCATGAATTCCCAATCTCTCTTGTCTAGGCGGCTGGCCACTCCAAAATCCCTTTCCGCAACAGTAATGAACGTATAGGCCCCAGTCCGACCAATTCTTAAGCACACACCTAACTTGACCCAGTCAGTCTAACTGAGGTCAATAGGGCTGCTCACGTGAGCAGAGGCAGGCATGTGCCTAGCAGCATGCTGGAGCAGGGCCTTGGCCACTGTGCCACTCCGAAGACGCAGTACAACCGCCAGGGTCTTTACTAGAACATCTCTGCTACTTGGTTTTCTGGGCAGTCACTCTTGTCGGTCTTTTCCAATTGGCCAAGAGCTGATAGATGCTCTGTTTCTGAGGTACGAGGGCAGAGATGTCTCGGGTTTCAGAGAGCTAAGAGCCACCCAAATATCACCTCTACAAGCAGCCAATGGAACCATGGCCCAACAGCGCCACATGGTGCCTTCAGTTGCCCTTGCCACTTCTCACGTGAGGGGTAGGGACAGCAGTTGGCTGCGTAACCACAGTCGCTGGTTCTGGAATTCATCAGGTTGCAAACGTACAAAGCTGGATCTGGCAGCAACGGTGCCGTGTTTTGCAAATTTCACCACTCCCTAAAGGAATCAATGGACGCCAATAACTCTCAAAAGGCTTTTCCTCTGTCGTGTCAGAACCCCTCCTGATCCGACAGGGTTTATTCAGCTAAGTATATATTAGCTTTGCCTTATCGGAGGCTCCTTTTCAAGGAATCAAAATGTACCTGTAAGCCATCAATCAACCCGACATGATTTTTGTTTGTCCAAGGTGAATTCATGCATCTCCAACAGAGAAGCAGCTTATCAGGAAGCTTGAAAAGAAAACTGCTCCTCAGCCAGGCTTCAGTTTAACTGGCCATGAGGAAAAAAACTGCCTTTAAAAACCAGTTCACTTTACTCTGGGACCTCCGATAGCAAAAAGTATGACACTATAATTGGATTGTTATTACATGACACCCCTATAAAGCCGAGTTAAGGCTGTCTGGGTGCCGTATCTATATGTCTCCAGACCTTAACGCCTCACAGGTTCTAAGGTCAGAAGGGACCACCGTGACCATCCAGTCTGACCTCCTGGAGAATGCAGGCCATAGGACTTCCCTGAATTAATCCGCGGATTGCTGTGATACTTAAAACGTAGTGTGTTTAGCTCATGTCAGCGATGGGTAATATAACTGAATTTGTTTGAGAAAGTGTTTCTTTAAATGTATACCTTTTATACAGTTACTACAAAAACATCCAATCAATCCACCACAACCATACACAAGTCGTTCCAATGGTTAATTACCCTCACTACAGCTTATTTCTAGTCTGAATTTCTCTCGCTTCAACTTCCAGCCACTGGATTGTGTTAGACCCTGGATTTCTTTTAAATTAATTCTAAATTTTCTGAGTTTCTAATGCTCATTTTGGGAGATAATCACAACATCTCTGAGATGTTTCTTACTCTTCAGTTAATAATATATACTCAATTTTAACTCCGTCTGTGATTTTTTTGGTTGGGAATATGAGAGATTGAGACATTTTTACTTTAGGATGGTGTACAGATTCTGGTGCTTCTGGCCTTATTGTATTCATCCCAGCGGTTCTCAACTCGCAGCCCAATTAGCACATAGCTGCAGCCCAGCTGTGTGCTAAAGGCCATGGGCCGCGCAGGTCCGGATCACTGGCTGCCTGGCCGCCCAGCACCAAGGGGTCTGGGCTTCCCAGCCAGGCAGCATGTGGTGTGGTGGGAATCACCTGCTGGACCCGCATGGAGGGGTCCGGGGCTGCCGTCCAGCTGGCCCCATGGAGGGTCCGGGGTCGGTATCTGGGCTGCTGTCTGGCTACCCTACCACCCGGCCCCACACAGCAGGGTCCAGGGTCCCTGCCGCCGGGCCCCCCTGCCCAGGGCTCCACTCCTTGCCCCATTTTGTGGAGGGGTCTCTGGGCGGGAGGTTCTGGGCATAGGGGTCTGTGGGGGGCGCGCTGTGGTTCTCAACCTGTGACCCAGGTAACAAATTTGTGCATACGCGGCCGAGAATGATAAACTGGTTGAGAACTACTGATCTAGGCTGACCTCCTGAATGACACGGGCTGCAGAATCTCACCTGCTGATCCCTGCATCCAGCCCAGAACTCCCGGGTGAGGAAGAGCAGAGAGATCTAAATTTAAACATTAACACGATTTGGTAGAATAACCCCTAGGTCTGTTTTTTGAAGCACACTAACTGTGTGCTCGGCAAAGCCGATGGCAATATCTTTTCATAATGTAACGACCTGGATGTGCCGTGGGTATTCTCTGGATCTGGAAACAATCCTGTTTTTTCTAGTTATACCCGAGACAAAAGGGGTTTTTATTCTGTTGGAAGAGCTGGGAAACTATAAACACAGCTAGTGATGCTGCTCCCTGGAGATGCAAGTCAGAGAGGCCAAGCATTGTGTGAGCCAGAAACACCAAACTCCCCCCTCACCGCTGCAGGGAATCATTTCAGGGCAGGAGGGAGGCGGATCTGCGTGTACAAAGCCATGGTGAGAACAGAGGGCTACAAGTCTTCAGGGTTGTCAGGCTGACACCTTCATCAGCACTAAGATTATTTAGTGTTTCTCTTATGGGGGCACTCACAGGCCCCAATCGGGATCAGGGTCTTTCTGCAGTAGGGGCTGGACAGACACAAAGAAAGTCACAATCCCTGCTCCAAAGAGCTTCCATGCTAACTAGACAACCCAGACAAAACAGAAACAGACAGTAAGCTCTTTGAGGCAGGAACTGTCTTCTCATTCTGTGTTTGCACAGCGCCTAGCACTATGGGTCCTGGGCCACAGCTGGTGCTCCTAGGTGCTACCCTCATATCCCTAATAAGTAACAATCACAAGCAAGATGCCAAGAGATTTTTTTTTCCTCCTAAGTATCTTCCACGCCCTTTCTCCATCCAGCTGATCCTGAGGGCCCTCCCTTTCCGCTCCGCACACCTCAAAGAAAGGAAGACAGGCTCACTGTGGGGAGGACAGAAAATTAGCCAATGCTCTCTAATTAAAACAACTAAAGAATCCTCTGTTTCTAGGAAAATGCGAATGCAGGACACGTCTCATAAAGCATCACTTTCAGCTGAGGCGTTCGGTAAACCCTTCCTAACAAAAGAGGGGAAAGAAACATGAATCGACTGACTCAGACACCACAAAGCTCTAAGAAAAGGGTCATGACAGGCGCATTCTTGAGCCACGTGCGTGCTTCACAAATAGTGAGAAAACGATCACGAGCTCTCCCCTCCTAAGAGCGCTGGCCTTGCCTAGCGTAGGAGGAATTTGCACTCATCTACCCCAATCCAGGAACACAAATATATTGTGGGCAGCATTTGCCTGCTCTACGATATTGGAGACTCTCCAGAAAACACTATGTAGTGAAACCCCGATTTACTCTGGTAAACGTCTGGTCAATATGTTCACCAGGGCTGCACCAGCCTCGGAGCTTTGCTCTTCCCCATCCCGGGAGCTGCACCGCTTATATGTCGTATCCACCTGTTGTCGCTCATGTTACACTTAGACCACAAAGTCTTTGGGGCAGGGACCATCAGCGTTCTCTCCATACAGCACCTAGCACAGGGGGGGTCCCGGCCCACGACTAGGGTCTCGACTCCCCAGCAACACAGACAACAGAGCACAGCTTCAGTTGTGCAGGACTCGGGAACTCTTCCAGAACTGGAGCTCCTTCCCTCTAA